TCTTATTTACCACGCGGCTGTTGGAGTTAATGTTTGTGCCATTTACGTATACATCACCATTCGTTGGCTTCATCATGCCTGCAATAGAAGTATATCTATATATGAACTTCGTACTCCTTTTTACGAGAATTGCGCGCTCTGATGAGTATAAAATTTCGCATACTTTCAGTTTATTTAGAGAATGTATAAAGTTAATATATGTATTAAATTTATGCATAAAAATTAAATCAATAAAAACACACATTACACATATTATTATGTATGAACACACACGGCTATATACTCTTTTGTTTATTGTGATCAGATTAATATTATTTGTCTATAGCCAAAATACTCTATAACACTTATAAATACTTGCATTCTATACATTTATGTCCCTAATCGAGCAGTCATTTCAAATCACAGTATCTGTATTCATGAAAATCTATTACAGACTTATGATATTAAAAAAATTACCATCAGTTCGCAGTGCATTCAAGGTAAGAATTCGACAAGAAAGTCAGCTCTTATTCTATCTTTCTAATATAATTGTACATGTTTACAAAATTACATTACAATAGGCCGTTATTCTATAATGAGCCACCAAAATATGAAATGGTATAGTAATTTTAACATCCCTACGTATTGTTTATTACTCACCTGTTATTATGGACATGAGGGTGGTCTTCCCGGCTCCATTGTAACCTAGTAGAACAGTTATTTCCCCCCTGGTTTGCCGTGAATGAAACACCCTTGAGGGCTGTATGTTTCGAAAATCTATAAAAACATTATTCTTACTTTCGTCTAGTTCAATTATTAATTTAAATATAAAGCAAGAAAAGCGAAGTTGTAACTTATTATCAACTCAAAGTTTTCGCTCAGGTCCACACTCACTTTAAACTCAGTTTCTTCTTTTATATAGAAGGCTTTGGGCTATCAGCAGGTTCTTAGACCAGTAACATTGCGACCTACAGAGATCCATTGTGCTCATCAAGTTTCAGGCATCTACCTAGACTTCGCTACCTAGTGTTGTCAGGGATAAGAATTGAAAGATATTCTTAGGAGTTACGGTATTTATCTCCTCAGGATAGAGTGTGTACTTTCTAAAGGAGATATTTCATTTATGCATGAGTGCGCTACAACCACATAAGATGTGTAGTATTTCATATTCATCTTTCCAATAATATTATAATATATTTTGTTAATCATAAGCTGTAGTATACCACGAGCCCCTGACATAATGCTCTCATTGCATCCTAATGAGTGGTTCAAGGTTTATAAATGCAATGTCTCTTACCTTGTAGACATTCTCAATTTTTATACCAGGTTTGACACCTATCGGAGTATCCTCAAAATACTCTTCAGCCGTCTCATTCAATTTCATGCCTTCATCCTCTTCATCCTTAACGGTTGGCTTTACTTTTTTCCCAAAGAACTAAAAAGTATTTTATCATTAACTTATTTTATACTTTTATTACATTTCGATTTACTGGTTTTTACTCGTGATTTTGTTTGCGTAAATTTCAATAAAAAGTAATGTAATCCATCCAAAAGACTTCACTCTGTTCATGATATAAGGCAATAACAAACAAACAGATATTCTCTTTTATACAAACTAAATAAAATAAATTTGTGTACATATGTTCAAAATTTTAAAGATTCAATGGTCGCTGGTTTGATTCCTCGTAGGGTGCGAATATTTGTATTCATGTGTATGACTGTTTGTATCAACCTGGGTGTTTTCTGTGTATATATTATGTATTTATAAATATTTAATTATGTGTATCAATTGTATAATACCAATAATACAAAATTTGTTTCGCTTGGGACTAGACGGCGCTGTGAATTGTCCAGGGTCATTATTTATATTTACACTATTATTTAGACACGCGGTAGCGTGTCAAGCCGAGTTTCAAGTAAGAGAACTGGCGAGCAGCACCGTGTGTATATTTACACGAATCATTTGGAGCCACTTTTGACCCCCTCATAACTCAAAAACTCTTTAACATAAACCTGTCAAATTTGGTTCATATATTGAGACTTGCGAGATAAATATGTGTTCCAAATTTCATAAATATATCTCAAACGGTTATTTAGATATTAACGTCCAAATATCGTCATTTTTATCACTGATCAACTATAGATCAAATGTGAAATGATAGCCGAGTTTAATATTATGATATATGCCTTGATTGTTGACTTCTACGACAAAAGAGGTGAGATCTAAATGGGTGCCAAGTTCAATGGTCTGTTCTGAAATGTATTTATAACAATATAAAATATCATTTCTTCTTATAACTTAGGATAATATACTGTGGCCTAAGGTCTAACTTGGCTGGTTTTCATATACGAAATATAATGTAGCCTTCGCAAGTACTAAACATGTTACTTGTCGGTTCCTATTTTATTATTTAATTAGCAATCGAAAGTAATATAAATGTATTTAGGCAAATATATTAAGTTATAAGAAGAAATCATATTTTATATTGTTATAAATACATTTCAAAACCATTGAACTTGGCACCCATTTAGATCTCACCTCTGTTGTCGAAAGTCAACAATCAAGGCATATATCATAATATTAAACTCGGCTATCATTACACATTTATGTTTTGATGGGATTTTATATGTACGTTAGTTGATACGGCATTTACAATATGGATCAATAGTAGCCTGAATATATATATATTAATAACTGACCCCGCCAAAACCATTACGCTTCAGAATCAAGTAATATGTCAAACGTAATGTAAGGTGTAAAAGGTTTTTTAAAGTTTCGTTACGCAATAAATTTCTAAACGCATTCTGTTCGACTGTTTGTATGGGAAAATAAAATTGTTGTTTATACTATTATATTTATATCCATGCAATATCTTCATATTTATATTAATTTTTTCCATTTATTAACTTTCCTTGGATACATATTTCAAAACCAAAATTAACGAAATCGGTCAAGCCATTCTCGAGTTTTAGCGAGACTTTCAAACCTTTTTTATATATCAGAAACATAATTTCCAATGATTTAGTTAGGTATCACTGGCAAATGGATACATTAACGGGTCTCAGTTCACTCGTATATAAAACGTTAACATTTATTATGACAATTTTCTGTATGACTAATTATTATAGTAGTTTGCGTCATTACCTTGAATATGAAATGCCACGGTAATCCTTGTAAATATAGGCCGGGTAACACATAATTTAGGTAGCAGTTTAGCGTCATAAATAACCCAGATTGGATCATCATGAAGAAGTAAACCAAAACTATAGGTGGACTATTGATGGTGTGCGAGCTCAGCATTGTAGAGAATGTCACGCCTTGGCCTACAAAACACAACATTGTTTATATGCAAAATTAAGAAATATTAACAAGATTATAGTGTATATTTTAAATTTGACGCGGTACATATTTTTATGATAATTAAGAAAAATCACGGGATCTTACCACGTTTTATTTATTTTCCTCGAGTTCTCTATATTGCGACAATGCGGAGGAACATTGTCGCAATGTTTACCCATGAGAATAACGATAAAAATAAATAAAGCGTAATAAGATCCCGTGATTTTCTTAATTTTAAATATAAATAATGAGTGCGTCAAATTTAAAAAAAGTAGACAATCTTGTGGTCTCGTTTTAACACTAATACGTGGCTATTCCAGAAAACTAAGATGATATGCCTCTTATCCCGTAATTTAACTGCGTTAGTGCACTCTACAACCGCAACACAGCTTACAAAGCAAGCTGCTTGGCGGCTGAAATATATTTGTATTTCATCCTTAGAATACCAGCGTTGTGGCACCCTATCACGTCATAAGCTAAGCGGAGACCTATTTGGTACCAAAATAATCCAATATGTAATTTAAAAATTGATTTTGTTATTGTTATAAAACTCCATATATTCGCACTGAACAGGTTCGCGTTGTCATTTTTAATACGCATTACCAAAATGCAATACACTTTCATATGCCCGGAGAAATACAACCCCGGATTCTCCAACTCTATGTGGAATAGATTTCTTGTGGGGCGCGTCACATTCTAGGTGTGGTCATCTGGTGAGAAATGATTGCATCATTTCTCACCAGATGCGGTAAATAATAAATGAATAAAACATACCGAAGGATTCAAGCTTGCCCAACTCCTTCCAGAACCAGTAGCAGGGCATGTGGGGAGGAAACCGGTGAGCCACAAGAGTCGCCGGTCCATCACTACGTTCGTGAGAAGCTGAGTCGGCACCCAAAGAGCCACGTATGTTCCTACAGCTATTGTCACCACATATTGCTCTGTTAAAAACAAACGCGTTTAAGTTTTCCACGAACTAAAATAAATTTATTACTTCTAATAACAGAATTGTTTATTGGAGGAATATTGCTAAGATCGTAATATATATAATAATAAAATAATGTTTTTTGTTAATTTTGTACATAAGATATATGTATATTTATTGGTAACGCCGCGGAATGTTCTGAAAAGTGTATATAAATTCATAAACAGAAACAAAACAATACCGATGTTGTATACGTGACGTTCTATTTTCAAATTTTTTTTAATTTTAAATACATTATATAGTCCGAGATCCCGCTGCAGAATCAGTGTACTCATCGAGTGTTTGCTGAAAACCAAATTTTTACACATATTTATCATTAGGAGAATTTATATCTACCAGGTTGCCTATCAAAATGTGGCCGCTAGTATTTTTAATTAAATTATTAATAATTTATAATCCGTAAGAAATTTCATTGACTTGTTTTGTCAGTAAAATGTCGTTCACTTTACGGCAACATCTATAAAGACTGCAAAATCATGGTTGCCGTTGCGCACCTGGTCGCACCTCTTCGCAGCCAGGTGTACACAGGTATGATTTTATTACATTTATACACCCACAACGTACATTCATAATTTATATATCAAATTAAAGCTAATTTTTTTCTGTTTATTATCATATACGGTTGCCTAATTAAATCTGGCCGCAAATAAGGGTTGCTGGCTATTAATTTAGTAAATATTAAAGGTAGAGTGAATCGATGCAGTTCAACATTTTACGTGCCTTATGTATGGACTTCCAAAGTGCCAAAGTGTAAATGCCGCAAGATTGTTATTATTCAACAAAATGTACGCGGTAATAAAATCATACCTGTGTACACCTGGCTGCGAAGAGGTGCGGCCAGGTGCGCAACGGCAACCATGATTTTTCACAGTCTTTATAGATGTTGCCGTAAAGTGAACGACATTTTACTGAAAAAATAAGTCAATGAAATTTCTTATGGATTATGAATTATTAATAATTTAATTAAAAATACTAGTGGCCACATTTTGATAGGCAACCTGGTAGATATAAATTCTCCTAATGATAAATATGTGTAAAAATTTGGTTTTCAGCAAACACTCGATGAGTACACTGATTCTGCAGCGGGATCTCGTACTAATAAGGCTATTTGCGATCGCAAACATACTACGGACATGAAGTTACCATGTAACGCGGGTTATACCGCTCATGCGTAATCATTCCAAGGACTAATCTGTACTCGTAATGTCTCTTAACCTGTAATTTTTCTGCTTAAACATACCTTACTACCGAAACATACATTACAAAACAGCATCTGCTTGTCGGCTGAAATATGAAAGACTTTGATACCCACGCACATGACTTTTTACAGTACTTCTAGTGCTGTAAAATACTTTATTAGTAAAATTCTCTATCCTAAGGTTGTCTGGAAGAGATCGCCTTCTGTACCTTCTTTATTCTTTAATCTATTGTTATATTTTTCAAAGTATATATTTTTAATATACCTACTAACATTAAAAATAAATAAAACAATAAAAATATAAAAGGTGCCACTATTTAAAATTTTTACTTTTTATCAGCATAATCTATACTATAGATCAGTGTTATCATTTGATAGACTGATTAGGCTGTCCCAGTAGATACGTCGCAATAAAGACATACTGCTATACTTTGGTTTTTATTAGTGCACAATAGTTTATTACTTATGTTATATAACTCAAAGAACAGCAAATAAGCTGACCTTGTTGCACGGCAACTGATGTTAAGTGGCAGAACCGCCGCTATATTTTATTCTAACTATTCTACTGCTATTAGTCATACTGCACCAGACTACCGCACAACAATGGGGCGAATGTAAAAGTCACTCCTATTTCTAAAGAAAAAATAGATTGATCATCAGTCAGTCAGCCAGGAATTGGTATTCAACCGCTCCGTAAGTCCTTCGAATACATAATGAAAAGAGTAACACGACTTTTCGTATTACTCTGTTGCTGTTGGCAGCAGCTGGCCTAAAGAAATCTTACAAATATATCCAATAAAGAGAAAATTAGACTTTTTCTTAATTTTAAATACGTCATGTGATATTGTACTAAAGAGTTTTACTTCTTCATTTTGTAGTTTTATTTACTTTATATCTTTTAAATAAAATGAAGAAATGTTGAATAACGCTGAGCGTAATTCTTTGTGTTGTATAGTCCATTTACGAGGTATACTGTAGGTCATCTATACATAGAAATAAAATTGGAGTCTGTTTGTAATATTGAAAGAACCGTTTTTTATTACATGCATATGAATATAAATACATACACCAAACTAACATTTTTTACAATTTTATGTAATGGGGAGTAACTTATGTTACATTTATTTTAGAATTATTCTTTTATTTCAGACTAGCACTCCGCCCGCGGCTTCGCCCGCGTGTAGATAGGATATATAGGTTACGGCGCGTTTAAAGATCCGTGTACAACAGTGGGACGTTATATATCCTAAACCTTCCTTTTGAGTCACTCTATCTATTCTGTCTAGACTGTATGTCTAGATCTTAAAAACTTAGCGGATTTTGGTTCTTTTTTATTAAATAAAAAAGAACCAAAATCCGCTAAGTTTTTATTATGATATTAATACATATGTATTAAGATATTTTTGTTAAAATGTATATTTTGCACTTGCACACTCTTTGATAAGTTATTGTATCTCGGCCTGGGGAGGATCAGGGAAATGCTTATTATTGCGATTGGAAAGTTCCCAAAGAGCTGTACTAAAGGTAATGATTAAGAAGCCTATTTATTATCCCACTAAAGAATTGTATTCCCTTTGTAATGTACTGACCGTAAGACAGACATACATATTCAGGAGCGTACTCCGTAGACATTCAGATATAGCTTTCAACCCTAACTTTCATCACAATAAACGTAGACCTAGTATAGTTTGTCCAACTCAATCATCTAATCTTGCAGTAGTGCGACGGCAATATTAATATCTTGGTTCAGTGTCATATAACAAAATTAATAAGGTAGTTTCCATTTATCCACATACACTCCGCGAATCTAAAATATTATTGTTTCAATGGCTTCAGAAACTAGATTACGACGACATTGAAAATCTCGTAAAGGTTTGAAATATATTTGAAATATATATAAATAAACTCATCCATACCATCCAACAACATATACATTTACACAGATACATATACTTACAGATCTATATAATAACACATCAAATCGAATTATGCTCACTACAAATCATAAACATTAAATTACATTATAGCATTCGTTCGTTCGTCAAGTTTTTTCATTGTAATGTTTTTACATACAGGTAACCTAATTAGTGAATATTGGCTAAGAATTTTGTATTTAATTTAACTTATTTATCTTCCTAAAAGTTATGTTGTAAACGTAATCATGCATGGCTTTGCTTTGCTTTTTATTATTTTTTATTACATAAATTTATTGTATTTGCTACCGGAACACTAACGCCTCTGTCTTAAGGAGGTGGGCGTTGACGGCCACGACACAGTATTACTTACTAATGTGGCTGTTATCGTTACACTACCCTACTTTGTAAAATATTATATATTTTTAGTTCCAATAAAAGAATTATTATTATATTATTATTATTATTTTAACCGGAAATTGAAGCCGTTTAAATGGTATTGGCAGATCAGTTGGGATCATTGATATTCTTGGATATGAGCTAGTAGCCCAGCTGCCGTGCCGGTGATAATGGTCTACAATTAAATTGTCTTTCAATTCCTTAGTAAGCAACAAGTGCAATGGGACGCCATTGCATGTGTTCGGTGGGCTTAAATTTTGAGAAATTCCGATTTTTGACGTCAAATCGTATGGTAGTAGACCAGAAGGATTTAGTAAAAATTTCTGTGGATAATGCGTCTTCGATATTAGTCACGGTGGCGATTTATTTGTAATTTTTTATTAAGCCGGGAATTTTTTTAACTGTTATTATTATTGATTATTTCGTTGACTGATTTATAGTATCATATCATTCCTAGGCAACACTATTGCCCTAGAACACAACCAATGAAAGCCATTTTCGTGCAAATTCTCGATGTCAGGGTGCATCTATCAAAATTTCTAAATTATGGACGATTTGACATAGGGACTCATCCTAAAATTTCTGTTTAAATTTGGAGTAGGAATAATTCCATCTCAAAGTTAGTGTGGGTAACACTATCAGTGACTCCATGAAGATGAGTACTCATATTCGTCAGTAATTTTAAAATTCAAGTCCATAAGGGAGACGATGTTAATGACAGGGAGAGTCCGTCGGAAATCTCCAGCAAAGTACAAAAGTAATCCTGCCAATGACAGCAAAGGTGTTTCTAAGGTCTTTTAAGGTTCTATCCAAAGTGTCTCATGGTGCTTTCCTACTACATAATGAGGCGTCGTGTAATAATTTATCAGGCCTTTTTTTGTGGATAGAACGATTATTGTTCAAGATTTGCGGATAGCAGAAGTTTAAAAGTAGAATGAGCCGTTTTTCCATCCTTTAAGAGAATTGCTGCAAGTCCTGACTTCTCGATGCAACTGCTATCGCTATCTTCCCCGATTGTATTATCTTAGCAAGTATCCTCCTCCTGTACCCCAGTGACGGTCCTACATCGCATTTGGTTTATATAGGGTACTTGAATTAATAATGAGCGTTTTTTTAAGACGTTTACAGATTGTTTTCAAATAATGGTTCCAAATATATTAATCGAAGTATTGGCCATCGCTGGCCACTACCTTTTTCCATCTTTCTGGCAATTTTCGGATGCCAGCTCGAAAAAAATATTCGTCTTTTGAGGCAATCCAATCATCTACCCATTTTTTGGTTTGTTCGAAGTTTTGTTTGTTTGTCTGAAGTGAACTTCAGTTGGGTCAGACCCATGTGTCATCGACTGGAATAAGTAATAGTCCGAAGGAGCAATGTCTGGAGATTACAGCGGGTGGGGTAGGACTTCCCATTTCAGAGTTTCTAGGTAGATTTTACCGGTTTTGTAATATGTGGCCGTGTGTATGTCATGCTGCAAAATCACTTTGTTTTGACTTTCTTCGAATTTTAGCCGACGCAGTGATAATGTGTTTCAAAAAGCCCTTCCTTTTTTGGCGTGAAGAAGAACTCCCCGCAAAAACGCTTTATCTGGTACGTAATTGGACATTTTCGAAACAATATTTAATGCGTTTCAAACAAATGATACTAGCTATTTAAGACGACCACAGAGTGTAGGTTTTAGCCGGAAGACATTGCAAACTAGAATATTGAAACATACACTAGTGGCGGCCTCTTGATTGAAACGCTCATTATTAATTCAAGCACCCTTTAGCTAACCGAGGTGGTTTTGTTTCTAATACTTACTATCTTGGTATTAATCCTTATCAAAATATTAATTAAAAAAATTGTTTATAACACAAATATCAAATAAAGTATTTCAATAATGATGGATAGTTGAATAATAAAAATCACTCACTATCTCTCGCGATGTAGGAAGCAGCAAACGCCATAGCTATTATGGTGCAGAAATGTAGTTTTAACATGAGGAAGATGAGCATGGGGTTAGAATTCTGCACGAACGGGTTGGGGGTCGTGGTTAGAACTATGGTCCCAACGAAAGCGAACAAGCAGGATGCCGGCATCGTAAACACAAGGTGAGATAACCCCACGTGGTACATCCGAACACCGACCATTCTCAACAGTTCCTGTAATAAAATTATTAACCTTATTAATATTATAAATTTGAAAGTTTGTAAGTATGGATGTTTGTTACTCTTTCACGCAAAAACTACTAAACGTATTTTGATGAAACTTTACAGTAATAAAGCTTATGCATCAGAATAACACAGGCTATATTTTTTATTGAACTTTATATACATATTGAAATCTAACGCGGGTAAAACTGAGAACACAGCTAGTTATATATATTTATATTTCGATTTAATTCGGATATCCATCCATATTATGTTTGTTAGTAATATTATACTTATTTTAGTATATACATATACAATTGTCGTTATAGCAAATTTTTGTCCTCTTTTATATTAAGTTATAATTTTTATGAATAACTTATAGTTTTCAAAATAATGGTCAACATCCAATACAAATTAAAAAGAAAGGCATTAATTTGTGAAAAGACCGTGAAGTCGATCTAAGTCTATTGACTTATGTATTCTAAGACATATGATGGAAAAAATCCAGCATTCGTTCGAGAATTGCAATTTTTTCGTAATTACTACTAATAATAACTCGTTACAAATAATATACACACTATATAGGTACTATACTAACAACTGATATCTGGTTAACTTTAATGACTAAACCAATGTAAACATATAATTCTTGGTGTTGTTTTTTATTTATCTATACTAATATTATAAAGAGGAACATTAGATATTATTTCATGTTATAAACATCTATAACAACTTGGCCACATTATTCGTACTTTATAATTTTTGTTAAACACCAATGTAGTGTTCACCTATTTGTTATTTATGTCTTCTTATATCTCCTGGTATATAAGCTGTTATGGACATAATATCGGCTCATTAGCCATACCCCGCGGCGCCTGCGCGGGGAACATCTCCCCTCTCGCGCACTGCGGCCCATGTACGCTCGGCGCGAGACGACAGGTCATAAACAGCTAGTATTACCATATAGACTAACCAATATTGATGATTTTAATGAAACTTTACAATAATATTGCTTGTTACATGAGAATAGAACATATGCGATAAATTTTAAGTGTGTGAAACCGCGGACATTCGACGAATATTGTATATAACAGCCAGTTTATTTAATCAGTACCAGTAAAACTTTCATTGTTTTCATTTTAAAAAAATCTGTTACTCACCAGTATACCAGAGCACCTCTCGTCGACGAGCGTCGAGATGAGGAACACGTATGCAAGCATCGGCGAAATAAAACATAGCACTGCGAATAATGGGGCTAAGCCCAGGATCTCCTCATTGCCTTCGTTGCTCACGAACGGGAACTCTTGCACGGCGATAGTCTAAAATAAAATTGAAAAAATACTTATATTTTAATATTATAAAGCTGAAGTCTTTGTTTAATTGTTTGAACGCACTACTCTAAAGAAGTACTGGTTCCAATTGAAAAAATATTTTTGTGTTGGATAGTCCATTTGTCGAGGAAGGCTTTAAGCTATATATCGCATACTTATTATATAATACTTAAAAATTACAAATTTTGGAAAGTCCACATTATAACAGTGGCATTAAGGTCCAATTTGAAAATTTTTAATTTCTGAATTACACCACTTTTGTACTAGATATGCGATATAACATTACGCTACCACCAATAGAAGAGAAGCATCAGTGTAAAATGTTGCAAAACGGGGGAAATTATTCATATTTGAGAGCTTCCGTTGCGTGCGCTGCGTAAACGGTTCAAGTTACTCACAAAATATGTATGAAAGAATTATTCCTCTTTAAAATTATCTAAAAAAGGGCAAAAGATAATCGCAATAGTGTTTTTGATAACCACGCGAAAAAGTCGCGGGCACAGGCCGTTAAATTATAAGTTATGTATATAACATATGTAACAACTAGGCTATAATATGATAATACGAACTGACTATCTTTTATCATAAGTGTTTATAATAGACTTTTGATTTGATTTGATTTGATTGATCCTGGTACGTATGGCATCCTAGATATTAAAAATATATAACTACTAGACTACTTCAAATTAGAATAATATTAATTTACATTTTAATATCGAAAAACAATCTACTTCATTTGGAGTCGACGTAAATTTTTTTTCTCATCCATTCATCCCTGTTCGCAGTTATCTCGTTATTTACTCCCCTATCTTGTCATAGCATCTTTCACACAGTCCATCAATCTCTTTTTCGACTTTCCTCTGCCCTTATTCTCTTCATTCCTACGCATTACATGCGCACACCATGATAGACGATTACTTTTCAACCTGACACCGGCACTTCTTTACCGAGAAACCGTAAATTAATATTAATCTTATTTGAAGTAGCCTACAATCCAAACCAGTCCATAGAGATATAACAGAAAATGTGTAGCTTTATAATACAACTCTGTTTTGTCGCCTGAAGAGAAATGATCATCGGAAACTGTTTCTGGCTTGAGGGCATATGATATAGGATAGGACAGTCCTATTACTATTTTAAAATTTCGAACCCACATTTCGGAGTCTTTAAAAAAGATAATCTCTTTAATTATGACCGAGCCGACGAGATCAAAAACTATTACAAATTTCAAAATGGTAGTATTGATGCTACCATTTTGACAAATATAACACCGTGATAGACGAACGGACACAATTGCATCATAATTGTTTGTAATAAATGTATCATAACCAGTATCAGAACGAAATCAGAAGGGGACTCCCCCTCTTACATGTGTAGTTCGACGTAATCTTTTATATAAAATTCTCGTGTCACAATGTTGGTTACCATTTACAATACTCCTCCGAAACGACTTGTCCGATCTTTACGAAATTTTATGTGCATATTAATTAGATCTGAGAATCGGCTACCATTTAATTTTCATAACTTTAATTGTTAAAGGTTGTCCACCCTTAATTTTTGTTTTTATTTTTCTGACAAAAGTTTTATTTATTATTTTTTTATAATTTGGGGTTTTATGTATTTTTTAATGATGTACCATTAAAAAATACATAAAACCCCAAATTTTCACCTTTTATCCTCAAATCCTATTTTTTTATAACAATTTTAGCTGTTTCGGTATACTGATCTGTTTAAGTTATGGCTACTGAATTATTTGATTTTTCTTTTTTTCCATTAATTTCTTATTATAATAATAACCCTGGACAATTAACGATATAAATACTTGACTCACCATATCTTTACTCGTGTAAGGCCACACGAATAAAGATATTTTCATTTCATTATTCGTGGTATGTTTGTCACGTCTTTCCTAGCTATAAATGACCATGACAAACTGCAAAAATGAGGGGAATTACTGAAATTTATTATATTGTAATCATCAACGTAGAAAGATATGTTATTTACCTTACTTACCAAGTGAGTGCTTTATTTTTTATTCTTTATGAAATGGCATAAAGAATAATCATCATTAGATAGTATAAAATAAAGTCGCTGTCGGTCTGTCCCTATGTATGCTAAAATCTTTAAAACTACGCAATGGATTTTGAAGCGTTTTTATAGATAGAGTGATTCAAGAGGAATAATATATAATACATGTACTCCCGTGCGAAGCTGGGGCGAATAGCTAGTATAAAATAATTTGATCTTTGTTTGATCGGTTATTATTATCTACCGGATATTAATATCGGATGTCAAAGCATATTTATATATACGTATCTGATAGGTTACTATCATTATATGCCGACTACCGGATATATGTGTGTATTAATGTATCTTTGACGACCTTGGTACTCTAGCGGTCTAGCACACCGCTGTTGCTCTGATGGTCGGGTTCAATTCCTCGCACGGCACAAACATTTGTATTCATGAGTATGATTGTTTGTATCGGTCTGGGTATTTTCAATGTATAATATGTATGTATTTACGAAAAAAAACAGATCTATGTATTTGTACCAGTTGTCTAGTACCCATAACACAAGCTTTAGCTAACTTAACTTGGGTCTAGATGGCGCTGTGTGAATTGTCCTGAGATTATTTATTTATATATTATTATAGATTATTTATATAATTATTATTACCTATATACCAATATGTATATTATTTTATCTGTGGCATATATAAGTAAATAAATATACACTTTTAGAATTCATGTTATTGTTTAAATTGAAGGCCGCTAGTTTTGGCATGCGCGAATTATTTGAAGGTAAGTTATAATGTAGCTATTACATGCGCTAAAACAAACATAGAATTTTAAAAGTAAATCTCGTACTATACATATATTTCAACCTATATGTTGGACTACGAATCCTTATAAAGTAATAAATAAAATAGAGAGTGGACTGTATATTTCGAAAAGAAAATAATTAATGGAAAATGACGGAGAAATACGATTTCGACCCCAAAGTAAGCAATGTTACACCAAACTTACTTACCTTTGCTCAGGAACGTCCGATATATAGTACTATTTAGTGGCCACGTGGCAAATATATACACTCTAAGAGTGTATATATTTTCATAAAAACAATTTTATTGTAACAATTAAATCAATAATTTTCTTGTTTTATAGTTAAATATATGGAGCGTCCATTTTATTCCAGTTCTTATTTTCAATTGTTTTTTATTCTAAATTCGAAATTTAAGTGGCCACATGTATTTATTTGTGGCCAGTATTACCGAAGCGTCCTTTGCTTCAGTAAGAAAGCCGGTATTACAACCTGCTTAGACTAAGGAACACTATAAATGTACATCTATCTAAAAATATACAATTATTTTTTGTAGTATTCATAGAATATGTTATATAGGTAGTGTGGATAAATTTTTTCATAATCTATCATAATTTAACGAGGAGTAAGACGAGGAGTTGTGACCAACGAGTCAATATTATGACGATAACTAATATACTAAGAGATATAAGATATAAATAACAAAAAGTGAACAGAACAAATATGGTTTTTTTTTGGCGTGTTCCTTACTGGAGATGTATAAGTCAAGTTCTTCATTTGACAGAAAGTCATAAGTCTGTAATATTTGAAAGGGGTTGTATGTGGTTTTAATTATAACTAAAGTATGCCGGGCAGGCAGGTTGGGTCATTGGGTTACCTGAAGTATGATCGAGCGCTGTGGTTGGTTGGATGGTTGGCTCATACGAATATGTACGACATACTTTTTTTTTTTTCAAATTCAAATACTAAAATTATTTATTCATGTAGTACATTTTAGCCGCTTATGAACGTCAAGTTTTTACATTATAATTTTTTTTTCCCTACTCGTGAATGCTTGTAGGAACTGGTCTGCTCTAATCACTACAACTGAGAATAAGATGAAATCTTATTGTGTATTTAATATTTGAACCCAATAAATTAGTGCTAGTTGGTAGTTCGCACTCGCACGTTTCTACTAAATAATATTACAACGATTATTTGAAAGAACAAAACGTAAGTTTTTTGCTCATTCTTCTTGTGAAGAGACACCTTTCCAAAAGAGCCGTAGATTAAGAGTAGGATAACTATGTAAGTTTATTTGAATGAAGAATTTATATTCTTATTATATTCTATTCTATAAAAAGGATATAAGAACAAAAAAAAACATAAGTACCTGATTGAGACTGTTGTCTGTACGCATTTCTAAGTAGGACCGGTCGATCGTCCATTGCAACTTGGTGAAAGACTCGTAATCATTACCTAAAAAAATAAAATAAAATAATACATGAAAGGAATATTACTATAGAATCAATGACTATATTGATACTATTTAGAAATTTCTGCATATACATATGTATAATATGTATGTGTAATAATGATTTGTCAACTCAATATAAAATAAAATGAGCATCTAAAATATATATCCCATCAAAAACATAAATGTGAAATGATAGCCGAGTTTAATATTATGATATATGGCTTGATTGTTGACTTCTACGACAAAAGAGATGGGATCTAAATGGGTGCCAAGTTCAATGATCTGTCCTGAAATGTATTTATGACAATATAAAATATCATTTCTTCTTATAACTTAGGATAATATACTGTAGCCTAAGGTCTAACTTGGCCAGTTCTCATATACCAATTATTACTTTCGATTGCTAGTTACTATTAATATTAAAATAGTAACCGACAAGTAACATGTTTAGAACTTGCGAAGGCTACAGTATATTTCGTATATGAAAACTAGCCAAGTTAGACCTTAGGCTACAGTATATTATCCTAAGTTATAAGAAGAAATGATATTTTATATTGTTATAAATACATTTCAGGACAGACCATTGAACTTGGCACCCATTTAGATCCCATCTCTTTTGTCGTAGAAGTCAACAATCAAGCCATATATCATAATATTAAACTCGGCTATCATTTCACATTTATGTTTTTGATGGGATATCATTACTTTTTGTACATAAATTATACGAGGTACTTATTTATAACTAAATTAATACCAAATTATTTTTGATAAATTACTGTATTTTCGTATATTTACGGGGTATAATTGTCTTTTTTTTGTGTTATTTTCTATATTTTCTTGTAACTTTTAAATGTTCAAGTGCAATGCCAATTCAGTATCAGGAATTTTTGGGCAAATCGGGGCGGTATAACGTCCACAGATGGTTGTACTCTACAATAGAGCTCTCGTGACTTGGATCAAAATTGTTAAGACGTACTCCATCTAAGGTTTTAACTCTGGAGAGTCCAACGTAAACCTGCCCTTTATTAAATATAGAGGAGCCTATGTTGAGAAGAGGACTGCCAAAACTAAGGCCTTGTGATTTGTGGATAGTAATAGCATATGTTAAGCAAATACGGAATTGTTCTCTATCAACATATACATTATTTAATATCTGAAACTTCGTATTGACACGTTATAGTTCGTAAAGACGATTATGTAACAAATTGACTGTTATCTATTGAATTCTCAAGAAAACAATTTGTTACCAATAAGTTCTCATTCTCGAGTTAACTGTACATTCCTACTTATAACTATACTAAAATTGTTATTAATTTTTGGTTTAAACTATTGTCTATACCATACGTATTTACTAAAATAATGTAATAATAATATAATCACAAATATATAAGTATAATTTAAGAAAGCTATAAATTTCGTAGCATAAATCGCAACCTTATAGGTTAGATATCCAGAAACAAAACATTGAGTTTTATCGCACCGCTCCCACACGGCGCCACCGCGGCGCCCTATACCGAAATGCCTATTATTTAATAATTATTTATAAAAATAATGATTTTACACTATCGATGTGCGCTAAATATTGAAACAATAATTAATACCAAATCTCAGTTAATAACATAATAAATACGAAATTCGACTACACTCCTAGTTATAAGTACGAGTATATTTTAGACAGAATCTAAATTATAGCAACTAGTGTTTACCGCTCAATGCAATATTTGAAGTTTGCTAGTTATCGACACTGATGTGAAGGGGTCAACGTAAATTGGTAATGATCGACGTTTTCATACAATATTACTTTCGGTCCAGTACAAGATGAGATTTTTCACCAGGGATCAATGTCAATTGGTGGCTATCGACGTTTTCATAGAATTTTAGTATTCGTCCAGTATAAGTTGAAATAGAATCAATTAAAGTGAAAAATTGTAGTAAAATGATAACAATTTACCAGTTTCAGATTTTTTCCTTTATATTCACCTAATTACCTATCGGCATACCAAATTTGAACTTCCTAGGTCATCTGGAAGTGGGTTATAATTTTGATCTATAGTTGATCAGTGATAAAAATGACGATTTTTGGACATTAATATCTAAATAACCGATTGAGATATATTTATGAAATTTGGAACACATATTTATCTCGCAAGTCTCAATATATGAACCAAATTTGACAGGTTTGTGTGAAAGAGTTTTTGAGTTATGAGGGGGTCAAAAGTGGCTCCAAATGGTTCGTGTAAATATACACACGGTGCTGCAGGGGGTCAAAAGTGGCTCCAAATGGTTCGTGTAAATATACACACGGTGCTGCAAGCCAGTTTTATGTACATTATATATTTAAAAAATATTTATTATATATATTATAATCTATATTTTACTACATACATTAATGAAAGTTGCATTTATCTATACTATACATTAATTGTCATATTTATAAAATGGTCCTAATCATAATTTATATTTTCGTTTGTAATCTGTACGTACACTGTCTCGAGTCTGGTGGCCCCGCTGAAAATCAGCGCTGTAGTATAACTTAGTTATACTACAGTATAAAAGCGGAGTGGGAGTCACATTCGGCGTTACCAGTATGTTTTAGCTTTTAAGTTATATAGTAAACATTATTGTAAATACGAATACCGATGTAATGCTGAATAAATGTCTTTATTATTATTATATAAAAATGTATTGATCAAAGTTTGGTACAAAGCAGCTAACATTTTTCAGTGCATTCCAGTATTCCAGTGGACATCAGTTACGACTTCCATTATATCTCACTTCGTGTACAATATAATAATGGATTTAGGATGTTGTTGGGGCTCCCTCGATTCTGTAGCGCATCAGAGATGCTTGCAGCAGCGGTCAGGTAGACGGTTTTCAGGCCATAATGCGCAAAAGAGTTACATCACTGATGTCTAGCATTCGGGGGAGCGCAAACAGCATCCTAACAACTATTGCAAAAATATGAGATTGTCCGCTCCAGAGGCATAAGGCATAGATATCGTTGCATTACGGATCCAGTGCTTCTGGACTTGGACACAGATATTTGAATTAAGTGTATATCTCTGTAGATTATAATTTATTAACATAGTTTATAAGTTGTTTACTAACACGATTTTTATTTCTAACAACTCCTTCGTTTTTAAACTATGTATAATATATTTTTTAATCTCAGATACTAAATTGTAGTTGTCAAATTTTCAAATAAACATAATTTTACCAATTGTAGCGGGATACTGTTGTACCTTCGTTATCGATTTGTTTAATCGTGAGTTTTTATTTTATCATATTAGTTTTAAAGTTTTACACAAAAATACAATTTTATTGGTTACTTAACATAAAGTAACTTTTATAGTATTAAGCTACAAACCGATAATTAAATTGAATTTAACTAAACTAACATTCCAGCATCAATAGTATGTTAAATTGATTGGTTTATTAATAAATCAAGGAAATTAAAATCTAAAACTGTTTTCCATAACAATTGCGCTCTATTATTATTTTAGTACTTGTTCAAGTATATTCCAACCGCTTCCTCGAGGCGATAGGAAAATCATATAAAATAAAAAATCATTTATTTATGTAGGACATATCTGCCGGTTATGAACGTCAAGTTGTTTGTATTAATATTTCATCCTACCGTCCAGTTTAGTACATAATGTACATATAGAATATTTGAATATATAAATTCAGAACCAACGTTGCGGGAGTAATAATGTAAACATGTTCTCAGAATGTGTAATAATAAACATACTGTTGTATCTGGCTAATCAGAAATGTATTTTTATTCTAAATTTGTATTTAAATATAAATTTAAATACAAATTTAGTACTAACTCTTTTATAGTACAATCTTGTTTTATACTTTATTCTGTTATGTATATACTTTCCTAATATATATCTCCGTATACATTGTCTTTTCGTTTTATCTATAAATAAAAAATAAACATACAACGCTTATTGTGTTCTTATCTACAATACGTTGGTATATATTTAGCAGATGAGATTACGCTCATCTCGAACTGAATGTACCTACGCTAGCAAGGAACCAGTAAAAATAAGCATATATCAGGTTTGTTTAGTTACAATACTATATATTTAGGCGTCACGTCGTTATTTGATACGGATATGACGGTGATATTTATGCAGGAATTTCTTAATGTTTACGTTAAATTAATAAGCAAAATTATTTCCACACACAATGATATTGTCAAGAGACAGAAGTTTTGATTGATAGGTATCCATAGACAACAATTCTTCATAATCACAATGTGTTGGATTACAAATCCGAATTCGAATCCGTATAAAGTAATAAATAAAATAGAGTATACTTATTTAAAAGAAAATAATTAATGGAAAAGGAAGGAGAAATACGATTTCGACCTGGAAGAACGTCTTCCTTCGAACACCCAAAGTAAGCAATGTAACACCAAACTTACTCACCTTTGTTCGATGCGTAGTAGGTCACGCACTCTACAGTGTATAATTGTATATATTTTCATAAAAACAATTATATGTATATCAAATAAATTAATATTTTTCTTGTTTTATAGTTAAAAAATACGGAGCGTCCTTTTTATTCCAGTTCATATTTTCAATTGTTTTTTATTCTATTTTCGAAATTTAAGTGGTCACATGTTTTATTGTTGGCCAGTATTACCAAGCGCCTTTTGCTCCAGTAAGCAAGCCGGTGATACGACCTGCTTAGAATAAGGAAGTTCGGAATACGGAACAATGCTTTTGAGCAAACTTAAAAAATGTCAGGAAATAAGTATGTAACGTAGTAGAAGGAACAACACATACTATACTGTATTACTTAAAAAGAAAATACATCAAAAAAATCCGCCCGCCACTCTATGTTCAGTGCGGGCTAGATATGGTTGAGGTCGTCGTCTTCGCCAGCGAGGACGTTTTTGTGTTTGTTTGTTTGTTATTTGTGTGTGTTTGTGTGAAAGTGGTAAGGGCGGATCGTGGTAAGGGCGGAACGGGTGGACCCGTAGGGTGAT